CAAAGTGATGGTAAGCCAGGGTTTGATAGGGGGTTGGGTTCGCATCACTTGTGTTGTACTCATTGTCTATGTATTGACTGATCAGGTGTTAGACGCGGGACAAGTGGTTGAGTACGACATTCCCCACATTTTGTTGGACACAAGCGATGGTCTGTTCAGCAAATTAGTCAAACAGACGGGAAAACACATGACTATTAGATTGAAACAAATGGCGAAACAATACTATTATCACAAAAATGGCATTAAATTAGAAGAGGAAGACACCGAAGAATGATAAGTAGATTTTGGATATGAGTGTATAGACGAGTGAATTGACTGATATTTTTTGAAAGTGTTTGCAATTTTACTAAACAACAATTTAATGTTACTTCAATTAATTTAATTTGTTATTATAATAAATGTACTAAAAATAGTATACAAATGAAATGTTATAAAATTAAATTTTTTTTAATGTAAAGTAATGTAAGTATTTTAATGTAAAATTTTTTTAATTAAACTTTATTTGCACATTAATATGTCATTTTTCAATATAACTCAATAAATCACAAATTTAAATTTATAAATGTTATGTGAAAAAGCAATTATAAACCAAATGTATGTTTCACTTCATTCATTAATTATACAATAAAGTTATTAAAATTATAAATGTAAAAATATTAGATTAAGTTAATATAAGCAAAAAATTATCTTCCTGTATATAAGATTAGAATTCTTTGATAATTTAAAATTAGAAATCTTACAAATACCAGATATTCCCATACACATTAAACGATTAATTGAAATTTAGCTTTTACACATTGGGTTGTGCATAATTATATTCATTAACTTTATGTGTAAAACCTAATTAATTTGACAATAAATTAAATAATTGTTTGAACACTACAAACCACGTCTCATTTATGGCGTAATTGGCACTGCATCGAAGTCGCGATTCAAAATACAGCTAAGTTAATCTAATCCGTGTCATACAACCCACCATACAATAAGGACACGGCAGCCAACTCTACAATACTAAGTCCAAGTCATACACCACAAGAAGTACGAAATCAACGAACAGCTCTCCCTTTTGGACAGATATTGTTTAAATATCTTCCAATACATAAATATGAATGAGTTTCGTGGAAATAAATCACGAGATTAATAATAATGATAACGTCTGATAATACTTATGAATATAATGTGTGAAGATTTGACAATAAAAAATAGATATTTTTTGGTACAAATTATAGCTTTTATTGATTTTAGAAATCCCGATGAAGGCCAGAAGGAAGACAACGAGTACATAGGTCTCGACGCCACCCAGAAGTATACGCTGGACATAGAGGACAGCGCTATGACCGGAGCCCACTATTCACAACAGATTTGAGTTTTAAGCATTCATTGCATCACAAGTGCGAGAATTGGTTCCATTTATTATAGCTGAAAATATAAATAATTTTTAAATATATTACCAATTGCTCGCATCTTTGTGGTTTGAGAAGCCTAAACGGTTTAAAACGGTAACATAATGGTACATCGTAACGGTATTTATAACATAAATTTATTTATTTATATCAATTTGAATTTATTATCTAAGGTTATTACTGATTTTGATATGTGGATTGGGTAGAGGTGACCGTATTTCACCTCTACTAAATCAAACATAGTTATACTCTAGTGGAGCGCATGGGATTACGGTAAGAGACCACGGTACCAGATATATATAAGCCGGGATTTAGGCCCAATTATTTGAGTTTAAAATACCTATAGAATTTTATTATATTATCCCTAATCTAAATTCAATTAATAACTGTAGTAAACTTAAGGAACAATTCATTTCATTTACTCCTTCTTTTTGTAAAGAATATAAGGGGCCAGCATTAGTGTTGTCAGTACCGATCAGACACGATTGGCATAACCTTTTAGTTTGTTGGGGACACCAATTGTAGGTTTGTTGGGGACACCAATTGTAGGTTTGTTGGGGACACCAATTGTAGGTTTGTTNGTTTGTTGGGGACACCAATTGTAGGTTTGGGGGGGACACCAATTGTAGGTTTGTTGGGGACACCAATTGTAGGTTTGTTGGGGACACCAATTCTAGGTTTGTTGGGGACACCAATTGTAGGTTTGTTGGGGACACTAACTATTATATCATAAGTACAACTATGGTAACTGTAAACCAGTAAACTTTAACCAGTAAACTGTAACCAGTAAACTGAAACTGGAAATGTTGTTATTACTGGTGGTAAATCTGAAAAACAAATTGAAAATGCTATTAATGACTTGGTATTTATATTACGTTTGATTGGTCTTTACGAAACAACAATAACCAAATACAATATTACAAACTATTGTGCTTGGTTTAAGTTTTGTAAACAAATTGACTATAAAAAGTTATTGCTTCAAAAACAAAATCAATGCAATTATGTTCCTGAACTGTTTATTTCACTGCACTTTAAAATCGGTGATAAAAAGCTGACATTAACAATAAATGATATCATTTTTGGCACTGTTTTTAAGTCCCATGACAATATTAATCAAATATTTAATGATGCAGTACAACAAATTACACCGGTTTTTAAATATCTAATAAATTAAAATATTATTTACCCTAAATTATATTTAAAATACAATGTTTTATAATATATGTATTATTTAATGTACTTGTATAGAGATAACACTGTATATTAAATTAATTAATTAATTTTTAACGTATGGTGTATGTTATTAAATAATTAAATAAATTAAATTATAATATAATAATCATAATATTGATATTATATGAGTAAATAAAGGCACTTCATTTATTCCAATAATCAAACTGTGGGTAAGTTATTTAATTATACGTTTTAAATTATCTATGTAATTTATAAAACAATTGTATAGTTATGAATGAAAAATCCATAAGGAATCCGGGTCGCCCAAAAAATATCACACCTGTGATGAGTGGTTGAAAGCCACAAGAATTTTGCACGCTAAAGCCGCCCGTAAATATTGTAAAAGACTCCGTGATATGCGCTCAAAGAATATAAGGTCACATGCATTGCTATCATTGGTACGACAACTCAAACAGCGTCAAGAAAAACTTAAAAATGAAAAACAAGTTGTGAAGGACAAAATTAAACTTCTTCGATATAATCTATTGTTAGGGCTTAAATATCGTCAAGCTCTCCCCGGTACTAAAATTGTCATTCCTGAGAATGAATTATATAATATATAATTATATATTAATAATTTTATAACAATATTGATGAAAGTATACAGGGTGAGATCACATTACAATACCGAAAAATTAAGCGCCAGTTATTCTGGGACAATTTATTTGGAATGCAAAAGCGCTTGCTTTCAATGGCAACAAACATTAAAGAAGAACAACAATTAAATGAAATGTGTGACAATCCAAGTGATGAAATGATTAGATTACAAACAGAATGGATGGATCAAATTAAAACAGAAGAGAGGACTGTTAATACAGAATATCAGGAATACGAAAATTTATATAATCATCACACAGTTGTTGGCAATCCGACTGTTTGTGGTGGTGGCAATCCGAATTTGTGGTGGTGTCAATCCTACTGTTATGCCGCTCATTACTATCAGTGATTCCGACGATGATACAGACCTCTCTTCTATACTAGTGATGGTTAGTGATAATTAAATTATAATTAAACATTACGTAATGGTGACGCAGGAGATTGTGTGTGTCGTCACATATGTTGTGACGTCACAAACGCGAGAGTTGAAGCCAGCCCTGATTTGAATAGTTGGCATAGTTGTTTTGCATATACATATTAGTTTTATTATTACGATCTATTAAACCGAGAGATTAGTAGAATAAAATATTAATACTTTATATTTCAATTATTAATTATATACCGGCTAAAATGCATATTGATGCATGGTAAGCTATTCCACTTCTTCCAAAGATTTTGCCACACAATCCTATAAAAATTTCAATTGTCATGTCCGGTTCAATTTTAACTGTGCTAAATGATTTAAAAATAGTCATCATTAAGCACAGGTTAATTCCTACACATAGTCCCCAACAAACCAACAATTGGTGTCCCCAACAAACTAACAATTGGTGTCCCCAACAAACCTACAATTGGTGTCCCCAACAAATCTACAATTGGTGTCCCCAACAAACCTACAATTGGTGTCCACAACAATCTGTGGTCGACATTAGCGGTCGCCTCGTCTAACACTAGTATCCGATTGTCTCGTAGTATAGCTCTCGCCAGACATACCAATTGGCGCTGACCTACACTCATATTAGCGCCCCCTTCGCTCACCTGTCCGTCTAATTGGCCGGACATCGCTTGAACCACATCCCGGAGCTGTACCTCCGCGAGCGCTGCCCACAGATCTTCGTCGCGATGGTCGCCAAATGGGTCCAAATTTTTGCGCACCGAACCCGTGAAGAGCACCGGTTCCTGAGGTATGATCGATACGCGACTTCTCAAGTCATGCAAACCAATGCATCCGATGTCCACCCCGTCTATGAGTATCTGTCCCTCCGGTTCCGTGAGTCTGAAGAGTGCGGCTATAAGTGATGACTTGCCGGCGCCCGTCCGGCCCACGACACCCACCTTTTCGCCGCCTTTGATGCTAACGTTGAGACCGTTGAGCACTTTGTGCGGACAGTCGGCGTACTGGAGGCTCATGTCGTTGAACTCGATGTCACCCGTTTGGGGCCAATCCGGCGGCGGTTTACGGTCCGGAGTGGACTCGAGCGCCGCCTCGGGCTTAATGCGTGAGTACTCGAGCATACGCTCGACAGCAGTCATGTAGGACTCGAGATCGGCCGAGCATTTCACCCCATACTGTGTCAGCCCGGTTAGGGTTATTGCTATTAAATTTTAGTAAACAGTTATGGTAATTTAGTTAACGCTAATGTACATTAGTTTAAATTAAACAATAATAAATTTATATTAATTTACATTAATTATTTGTTATTTACAACTGCAGTTACAAAGTTCATACCTGATGATATAACTAATCCCACACCGCCGCCATCCATCACTTTAACCATGATATAAAATCAAAAAATAATAAATGTCACCATGTTAGTTAAATAGTTAGTTATATGTTATACTGACCGTCTGGATAGGCCATAACGAATGCAGTGACGGCAATGATATATAAGATGCAAATCCAGTCCATAAGTATAGCGAAGGCACGACCGGTGCATATGAACAGAAAGTAAGCGCCGGTATTATCGTTGAGGTGATCGTCAAACTGGCGCTCAAACGCCCGCTCGGCTCCGAACGTGCGGACACTCGTCAGACCCGATAGACTGGTGTTTACGTGTGAGTATATCGGGCTCCGGGCTGTCGGGTAAGGCATACAGTATATGTTTTTTGGAAACATTATCGTTAACTTTATGAGCAGAGTGTGACCAAGTTTTAAATTAATACATACATAATCCTTCGAGGCGTTTAATATCGCGCGCGGACCGGATGTAGTAATACCGGCCCAATAACACCAGTGCCAGCAAAACAAACGCCGGTATTATTAGATACCAACTGACTATTGCGTTCACTATTAGACTCCCGACCACTAGAGATATGGTCTGAGCCGGGGTGGGGGGAAGGGGGGCCAAGGAGTTGTTGGAGGGAACAAGTATTAACATTTATAATATTGTTAATATTACTATATGGTAAGAAAATTAATGTGAATACCATTTGCAGATCAAAGGCTGTCGACGGCAACAACTCGTCCACAATTCCGGTGTCTTTAGTAAACCTATTTAGTATACGCCCTGAAAAACATATAACATATGACATATAATGATATGCCCTACACACTAACTACAGTCTACTTTCGATATAACGTACCGATGGGTTGGCTGTCAAACACATGGGACGGCGCTCTGAGAACCGATAGGAAGATCCTATTATGCAGTGTTATGGAGGCCTTCGTACACATGACAAAGAATGTGGTCGTTCTGACCAGTGATGTGATAAATAGGCCGCCGATTAGTGCCGAGTATATCATCACATAAAACGTGGTATTAGTCGCAGCGCCTATAGTATTCCGGGTGTTATTTGTCCTACAAAATTACCATAATATAAATTTTAATTCATCACAAGGGATGGGTTGTTACTAACCATATGGTGAGCCAGAAGTCGCTGCCATTATATAAGGCCTGAGAGATGATAATCGACGAAAACGTGGTAAATATGAGCGCCGGTCCGCCGCCGGCGCGCGTATACTCCCAGTATAGGCCCGACTCAATACCGCCCGTCTGTTTGGCCTCAGCCGCCACTTCGGGCCCGACGTCCGTCTCATCGATGGTCACACCGACGGTGTGTATGGGCTCGGGTTCGGAGCCACCGCCACAGCCGGCGATACTACCGGCGCCGCTGCTCACCATCGATGGCGAGTAGGATTGGGTCCGGTGTCGACCGCCGGCGCTGTTGTTATGGTTTTTCGGGTCAAGTATTTTCATATTGTCGGCGATATATGTCTCGAGGCTAACGCCCCGATCGAGCAGCTCCTGGTAGGAGCCAAAGGCCACGGGCCGGCCCTCCGATAGGATCAGTATCTTATCGGCCTCTTTGGCGAACTGGATCTGATGGGTGACCAGCACTCGGCACTTGTCTTTCAAGTACTCGACACAGGCTCTGATACAATGAGAAACACGTTAATTAAAACATTGATTTCTAGCATGAATTCACATATACTGTTATACTTTCGGAACAAATGTTTGGCCACATGTGTGTCCACAGCGCTCAAGGGGTCGTCCAAGAGGTAGATGTCTGCCGAGTGGTACAGAGCCCGGGCCAGACTTATGCGCGCCTTTTGGCCCCCACTTAATGATACCCCTCTCTCGCCGACTAGAGTCCGGTCGCCGTATGGGAAGAGTGCGAAATCCCGGTCCAAAGCGCACGCCTTCACCACTCGATTGTATTTCTCTTCGTTATATTGAGAGCCAAACAGAATATTCTGTCGAACACTCGCTATGAAAGCCCACGACTCCTGCGGCGCGTACGACACCCGACCCCTCACTACCACCCGACCCGACACTAGCGACAACTCGTTCAGTATTGACATCAATAACGATGTCTATATTGTAAAGGATGTAGTGTTATGTTTAGTTAGTAATTAGTTTATAAATAGTTAGTTATAATTAGTTATTGCTAGTTATGCTAAAACAACATACCTTTCCGCTGCCCACCGCTCCGATAACGACCAGTAGTTCTCCGGGTTTTACACTCAGACTAATGTCCCGAAGCGTGGGTTCAGTCATATCCTAACGCAATATTCACGAAAACAAATGGTATGTTTCAACAAAAATAAAATACAAATATTTACAAAACACGAGTCGTAAGACAACAAGTGCTCAAATAATTGCGTACATTATTCCAGCGGACAGTCATTTCATTCATAGAAACGCCAATGTCTTCGTCGGCGACAATCATCTCATCCATCGGTATCTCCTCTTCATTACCATCGATTGCTTCGGACATCGATTTGTCGTTTAGTTTCTTATATTCTTCGAGTAGTAAGAAATCCTTTTGCGGAGAAAAAGTACACCATTTTATGATTAAAATGATTACAATTTTATAAATATAATTTTGAAAACCTCTCTCTCTCTCTCTCTCTCTCTCTCTCACTCACTCACACATACCGTCTATACCTGTATACGGCGTACTGCAACCATCATCTCAGCCATGGAGGCGACGGCTTGTGGAAAGTATTTGGTGAGCGATGTGCGCAATATATTGAAAAAGGCCATGGTCACAAACACGGCCCGCGCCGACAACTGGCCACCCATATAGACATACGTCACGAAACAGGCAAACAATATGAGCCGCGATGTGACAAAATATAGCGACAGGTTTACCGCTTTCAATAGCGACGAGTGTCTGATTCGTTGCACTTCTTGTCTATACAGCAAAATATAAATAAAATTTAATAATAATAATAATTAAAAATAATTAAATACAACACGACTACTACTGTACGTGACATAACTATTAATATATGCAGTATATTTAATTTACCATCATCATATCTATCAAATTAAATAATAACACTATACTATTCGGTATAAAAACTAATTAAATCAAAATATATTAACTGTTATTTTTATACAGTAGTGATTGTTTACATATTTTACTAAACCATTAACTATACAACTAGTAAATGCACTTGGTAACTAGTAAATTAAAACATCATACTCGCGTGCGTCGACCACCAGGTGCTGAAAGGGCATCTCCCAGGCGTACATCTTGATCACTCTCATGCCGGCTATAATTTCGTTCATAAGCCTAATCCTAGTGTCGGTCAAGTGAGCGGTTTTGCGTCTAACCGTTTGAAACATACGTCCCATTAGGCCCTGGAATGGTATGAATAGCAGTATAACCGCCAGACCGGACAGACAGGCGTACGCCAAGTGCTCCCATAATAAGTATATGATTAGCACCGACTGTATGGGCGCCACGAATAGGGCCTGAACTGTGAACGCAAACTTTGTTCACCAAGAACAAAACATGTTTAATTATCTTATATATTGTATTTGCATAATTTGATTAAGATAGAAAACTATGAAGCTTTATCATAATAATTACCTCGTCAAATCTATTAACATCATTGGACATGATATTTAATATTTGGCCGACAGGTGTTTTACCTAACGAAGTGTGGTTTAGACGCATTGCCTGTTATTTTAGCAGCAAGATTATTTATTAATTTAATAAGTTAAAAATACATACGTATGTGTAACTCGTATACAGTAACAATATAACTATAAACTATAACTCGGCAGAATAAAATAGGGGACATTAATAATATGACGTGGTTATTGAATCATCAAGGTGTTTTTAAAGTATAGACTTTATATTAGAGTACACTATATGTGACTAACATATGAATAGTCTATAAATTACAACACAAGGGTTTTATGCTGGGTGTACTCTAGTGCAAATAATGCCTGCTGATACTATAAACTAATATAGTAAATAATGCTATATATCAATTTCATATGAACTACAATAACTAATAATAATAAATAAATAAATAAATAATCTCGTGATTTATTTCCACGAAACTCATTCATATTTATGTATTGGAAGATATTTAAACAATATCTGTCCAAAAGGGAGAGCTGTTCGTTGATTTCGTACTTCTTGTGGTGTATGACTTGGACTT